AAAAATGTCCCCAAAGTATGGTAAAACCTGAAACTTCCCTACTTTTGGGGACATTTTTCAGGTCCTCATTTGGATAACCTCAATTTCATGAAAATCTGTGAATGCAATCAAAAAAGTAAAAATGTTTTTCTTGTATTTTGTTTGTTTACTTATGGTTAAGGTTAGCGATGGGTAGAGGTTAAGGCTGTCGTGATTGAGATTAGGGTTTTTCCCAAAGAAATGAATGGAAGGTCCCCATTTAGTTAGGCATGCCAACATGTATGTGTGTATGTGTGTGTATGTGTGTGTGTGTGTGGGGGTTTGCATAGATCACATTTGAGGACCAAATTGTCCCCAAAGTGTAGTAAAACCTGAAATTTCCCTACTTTTGGGAACATCTTTTGAGGTCCCCATCTGGATAACCTCAGTTTTATTAAAATCTGTGAAAGCAATCAAAAAAGTAAAAATGCCAAAAGTCTTGTATTTTGGTTGGTTACTTATGGTTAAAGATAGGGATGGGTAGAGGTTAAGGCTGTCGTGATTGGGATTAGGGTTTTTCCCATATAAATGAATGGACGGTCCCCACTTAGATAGGAAGACCAACTTATGGCGCTTTTAAGGCGCTTTTCCTCTGCACCAGGTACTGTACTTTTGGTACATCAAGGTGTTGATTTTCCACTGCCATAAAAACTGGTACCAGCGCTGAATGACATCACAACGTGAGATGGGGTATTTTGTACTGAATTTTAAAAATGGCTGTAGTATATTATAGGGCTGGGCAATGTGGGATATTAAACCCAAACATCACGTGTTACGCACATGCAATTCTTACATCATAAGTTCCGCGATCGTCAGCTGGGATGACATCTGGCTTCTTCATACTGTCCGGTCCAATTCACAAACATTCTAGCATATGTTTAAAAAAATCAGTTTAAAGTTTACTGCCACTGCTTTCACATGAGCTCTGTGTGAGCCAATCATAATCATTTTCATCCTCCCTAAATGATTCCTAGATGGCTTTGTGAGAAATGCATTTATTTTGAAATCCTTTTTTGTTTTATAAATATCCCAATATTTGTTGCAACAAAATCACATTGAGATATTTATTTTTTCCCCAATATCATGCAGCCATAGTATATTATAGCAAATACTTTTTTTAATTTCTTGTCATGCCATCTACATATCATTAAAGCTTGAGTCCACACATCCATTATTACTACTGTTTGTTTACTTATCAGTTTTCTTTGAGTTCGTAACTACGCTTTTTCCGTATAGCAGATGTATTTTGTGATTGCAAGGAAGGTTATTTGCATGACTAATCAACAATAAACACATTTCCAAGTCCCACCCCAGAGTACTGAAAGAGTATTCCCTTCTGCTTTGGTACTTTTGGTACTGGTACTCGTCCAGAAATCAATGGAAAAGAGAAAGTATCAAATTTTTAGTAACAAAAGTACGGTACCTTGTGCAGTAGAAAAGCAACCTTACACTCGATTATTTAGGCGACACTTTATCCAAGCAATGTACAGTTGAGAAAACAAGGTTAAGTCAGTCCCTGCAGCATTTGAGCTTAAGGGCTTTGCTCAAAGGGCCAACAGTGAAATACCTCTGGTGACCGTGTAACAATGCATTATCTAATAACTTGACAATGTAACAAACTGAATGATGATGATGATAATAATAGGCTAATATTTCAGTATAAAATTATAATGTAGTCTATAAATTTGTAACATGTGATAGAGTTAATACATAATGCGGCACTATTACATAATGCGTTGTTACAGACCCTGAGATTTGAACCAGCAACCATCTGATCACAGGCACAGAGCCCTAACCTACAGAGCCACACACCAGCCTGAGAGGGGTTCTTACTCGCGTAATCCTGCGGCAGCATGGGCTTGGAGATGATGACCTTCAGCGCCTCTAGCCACTCGCCCTGCTCCCGCTCCCGCTCGCACATGAACACGAACTGCCGGTCCGGCGTTTCCATGGTCACCCCAAACTTCCACCGGTTCCCCCGGGTTCCCCTGGGTGCTATTTTTGCTGCTGAGTAACCAAGGGTCTCGGGGCCTATGAACACAGCCCCCAGCTCCACTGCATCCTTCATGACACAGAGACATACCCCAGAATAACGTTAAGACCATTTTTAATCTTTCAGTTGAACTTTCAGTTTGCGAGAACTACAATTGCCACAAGTAGCAACTTTGTGGATCTTTTCAAGAAACCCAAAGTACTTTAAAACAGTGTTTGCCAACCCGGTCCTTGGGGATTCCCAGACAGTCCATATTTTCGCTCCCTCCCAACTCCCTACCGGCAGGAAACTGGGAAGGAGCAAAAATGTGGAATGGCTGGGGGTCCCCCAGGACCGGATTGGGAAACACTGCTGTACCGGAATTAAAACATGGAAACAGAACCTGATTGAGGTAAAAATTTACATCTAAAGCATTAATCTTCATCTAAGCAAAATCTTTAATCAATGTCTTTGATCTCACCAGCTTTGTTTTAAAATAGAGCAGCTTTCTCTCCTGTCCATCCAGGATGAACCACCGTTTCCTGAAGGTTTCTCGTTGCTGCCCAAGAAAGCAGGTGAAACATTTGAAGTTTGCCCTCAAACACATGCTGTCACCAGAGCTCTCCATTAAGTAAACCACTAATTATATCAGAAGCTACCAGCCGTGAAGCCGAGAGCAGGTACCACGGTTTCAAGCACATGGTCATACAAGGACGCCATTAAGATGACGTGCTGAGGGCCGCTTACCATGGGACCCGTCTTTTCCATGTATCCTTCTTTCAAGTAATTCCTAGTTATCCTGGGACTTAACTGAGGAATTAGGGCGAAGAAACGGAAGAAATCGATAAGGAAAAAAGTGCAGGGATCAAGAGCAAACACATAACAGATAGAGACAGAACTGCTCATTATACTGAAGTGTATTTCTACTCTCAAAATTCCGTGAACTGCTCATTATACTGAAGTGTATTTCTGCTTGATTAAGGCAGCATTGAAAAGTTTTTTTAAAAAAAGAACGTCATGCTTGCACTCCGAGATCCATGCTAGGACAGGAAGTCTATATAGAGAATTATTTTTAAAGAGAAAAGTCTGTGACACCACAGGAGTTTTCACATTAGCGCGCAGCTATTTTTGCATTGCCGATATCATATATAAAACACTCTTAGTGAATCTACGATTTTAGCTGATAGGCTCTGGCCCTGGGCTCTTGACGTCACTCTAGAAGACCAGGAATCGTCTCTCACCTCACTGTCGTTGGCCATGGGGAATGCTGTCTTCAGGTAGGCAAATCGGGCAGCTCGAATGGCATTAAACCAATTTACGATCTCCTATAGGAAAGAAGCATTTATCTGGTACGCTTTCCATCTCAAGTGTCATACTTCTGAAGATGACTGAAAACAGAACCCATCCATGTTGACAGGACAGCATAGACATACCCATTCCACAACAACTTAAGTGTATTTCTTACCTAGTCCCCTTGCATCGGGACACCAAACATGGGAAACACTTCTACTACAAATCCGTAATTAGAGGAGTCTCTGTACATTTCCGCTCACCTGGCCGCTGTCGTGGTACACAAACAGGTTTTGAGACCGCTGCGCATCCTGGAACATGATCTGGAGTCCGTTCTGGTGTCCGATCTTCTCAGGTTGAAAGGTAGCATTCAGGCTTTTAATTGAAATTATTGCCCTGGGTAGCTAATGGAGAGAATCAGCTGGAAAAGCAGTTCTGCATTTCCATGCGCACACATCTGGCTGGAGTGATACTCACATCATCTTTGGTGTAGTACTTCAGGGTAAAGTCAGAGTCAGAAAGTGTGAACTTTCTTTTCAAGAACTGTCCATTGTCCTTGGCTTTCTTCCACAGTCTGCCTTCATAGAACCCTACAGCAACATAGATCAGTGGAAGATGAGTCTGTTTTAATGATATATGAAGAACCTGGTCTCATTAACTCGTTCAGGCAAAGAAGAGAGTATGGAGATACAAACCAGGTATTAGAAACTCCAGTTTTTAAGACCTATAAACAGATGATTTTAAATTCTGACAATTAGAAAGTAAGATAAAAACACTATGAGAGCCTGTATTCCTCCATGTTCCTTTGATAAGGTCTTGAATTGAAGATTCGGCAAAGTGTTCCAGAGGAGAGACAAACCACAGCGCCTGAGGCCGAAGGAGCCCCCCAGCTTACCTGAGGAGTAGATTTCTTGGCGGTGGCGGTTGTCCCCGGTGAATTCCTGCCTCTCGTACTTGGCTTTTATCCACTGATCCCTCAAAACGCTGGAATGAATTGAAAGACAGCGACTTAGCCTTTTCGTTTCCACCTTCCCTAAGTGGCACATCTGACAGTACATTCACTGCTTCACAACACCGGGTTTATGTTTGCTTGACTGTGGAAGCACCACCCTGAACGAGAGCACGTCAGCCGACGCCAACGATGCACAGAAAATACCTGCTATGTGTCCTTTGCTTGCTCATCAATGACAGTTTCTGTCGAGCTACACAAAAGCTAAATTTAAAATTATGCAGTCATGCTTCCTTCCTCTGAATTTGCAAAAATGCTGGATAATCGTTTTGCAGCTTCTCCAAACAAATCTGCCAATATATACTATAAATTCAATTCAATTCAATTTTATTTATATAGCACTTTTAACAACAGTCATTGTCACAAAGCACTTTACATTTAACCGGCCCGAACCCCCACCAAGCACTGAGGCAGGAAGAAACCTTGAGAGGAACCTAGACTCAGAAGGGGACCCCATCCTCCTCTGGGCGACCGGGGAACATGAAATTGTATTGACATTGACATTAATTCCAGTCCATATAATCCCAGTTGGTTTCATGTAATTATCTCCAAGGAGTCCAGGTAAGGGTTCAGACGGTGTAATTTCAGCTGGGGATCACTGGGCTCTTTATCAGCAACATACTAATCCTGAGTAAGGCCTCCCTTTGCAATCAAGATGCTGGAAACATTCCTTTGAGATTCTGGTCCATGATGTCATGATTGCATCACGCAATTTCTGCAAATTTGTCAGCTGCACATCCATAATATAGGATACAGATCCAGTGACTGGGAAGGCCACCAAAGTCAAGCTGGGCAATATAATAATAATAAATAATAATAATAATAACAGCAACAACAACACTTCATCAACCTCCGTGGGGAAATTCCCTTTTCGCCTACCCCATCTTGCTCTCCATCACACAGACACACATGTAGGTGGGAGTAGGCTTGACAGCGAAGGGCAGCCACCGGCAGTGGTGCCCACGGAGCCGGGGGTTAGGGGCCGGGCTCCAAGGCCCACAGATGTGACTATTGTGCTGAGTCGGGGCTCAAACCGGCGACCTTCTGATCACAGGCCCACAGGCTTAACCACCCTCAACACTGTTATTTTTCACTAGGTTTATCCACGATATCTTCTTTTTTAAAAGATTCCCAGTGTCTGATGGGCTTTCTTCACTGACACCGAAGTTTCCTCCGAGCATCAAGAGTCATAGTCACAGAGTCACCTGAACTTTCCACCTCTGCTGAATAAGTTTAACTCTACATAAAAGGGTTGCTGGCAAGCCCTTGGATGACACACCAAACCTAAACATGTATCTGCATAAAATGGATAAAACCACAAGTACATTTTCTGCTTGATCTCCGTTACTCAAAATGTGTTACTTCGGAAAATAATTAACATACAAAACACACAGGTATCTTCATTAGGCAAAGAAATACACATCCAGTACATTCATTTCTGCTTCAATCGGAGCGGGACAGGATGCAAAAGAGAACGAGATTGCCAAAAACGACCCCTGTTTGAAACGGTGCTCTTAGGTGGTACCTACGCACTGTCTTTCTGCTGAGGACGGTAGTAGAACGGTGGCACATCTCTCTCATAGAATATCTTGGCCGCCTCGTTCCCATTGGTCTTCATGAACTACAAACACGTAGAAATCAACACCAGTGCCGTTTAATGCCTTCATTGGATATGCACATCCTAACAAAACGTGTCTCATCTGGGAGCTTTCGGCGCAGGACATTTACTTAATTTTGCACGTTGTGCAGCGGCGCATATCGAAGAGCTTGCAGGAAGCGAATTCTGGGGTTAAACAAACTTCCACCCAAACAGAGGATGTTAAAAATAAAACAAAAGCACAGAGAGAAATAGCACTAAACTGCAGGGTGTCGACAAAACAGTTTTAAACATGTGCTCAGGATCACACAAACCACACGCAGCAGGTGGAAACTGCGTCCAAATAGCGGCACCCACACAGCACGACGTGACCTGCGTGCAGCATAATGTACCTTCACCATTTCATCATCCCAGAAATCCAGTCGAATGGACTTGACGCGGTTCATGCTGGTCAGGCTTCGGTGGAAGCCAGAACAGTCCAGACACACAAAGACGCCCAGACTACAAGATGCCCAGTCTGGATCTTTTGTGAACAGGAAAATAATATTTAGCACCAGGAATGTAAAATGTGCTTCACAGGCTAAGCAGAATGTACAAAATATCCCCTGAACAGTCCAAACTGTGTAACTATAGCCTTTTTAACATTAAACAATGGGTATAATTTGTCTCACTGTCACATCGTTCGATTTGTCTTAGCGTCTCTTTAATGAACATCTTATTAGCATAAGACCCCGTACGGCCATAATACCCAGTAACTCAGAACCGTGGCTGATCCATCAGCCAGTCAGATTCTGAAGCACTGACTTGTTCTTGCCAGTGAAACTGTTCACTGAATTTTGAGTTATGAGTGCATCAATGAACAGGAAAAAATAGAAAACCAACTGAAATATTGAGAAACAGCACTTTATGGAAAATGTTGTAGCCTGTATTTCTGATACAGAGGCAGGTAAATATAACCAACCCATTTTTTTTTTTTTAATCAAAACTGTCCTGTGTTACCTGAACACACCTTCTGGACGTGAGTATTTAAAATAGCAGCAATGATAACGGTAATCATCTATTAAATAAAAAAACAAGCACACAATTTATTACAAATAAACTGCCATTCTTTGGGTGGTCAGTTTCCCTGCGCCCTCATATCGTCGTAAGCACTGTACTCACCTGGGGCTCCGCAGTCGGCACATGTGTTGTTACCAGGCAGTTGGACCAAATCCATAAGAATTTTCTTGTTTCGGTCTTGAATTGACATACTTCGTGTTGTTAACAAATTTTAAATACAGGTTCCGAAGCATTTAAAAAGATCCGATCAGCGCCTGTTTTATCTACATGCCAACAGTCAGATCAGTTCCTGTCGCTGGATTCTTACTTCTCCCAGTGACCCTGACAAACTGGGCGTGCGATGGCTGCTGTGCTGGGAGTTTCTTGCGAAGGGGTGCTATAATGAACCTTCGTTTCAGTTCGTTAGGCGATTTTGCAAGAGAGGGAAACGAGAAAGTAACTTAGCCTGCAGTAAGCTGCTCCGGCCACTGAACCGGCCGCTGACTTCGGGCACTTTGCTCGCAGTCAGAAAATCCATAACGACATAAAACAGCACAGACTGACAATCTTCTTTTCAAATAAGTAAAACCGCTGATTTATTGTTTTAATTCGGAGGACACGTATCACGGCTGCTCCGTATAGACATTTAAAATCGTTTATCCCCCGTAGATTACTACCGGTTAGTCGCACTAACCTGAATTCACCGTTGCTGATGACTGAGACCTGGTGCCACCTGCACGGTAGCTGAGGTGCATGTATTGTTTCCTATTCTTTTTTGTGAGAACACGGCGTGTAACATGCACAACTGCAGTAACTATCGCAAGATGTTTGCGCAAATGCTTGAGAGCGATTGAATGAAACCGCATCCCGCAAACTCTTGCATATTATTCTATTTTAGATTGCATTTGTCAGAGGCTTCTAGAGGGCGAGGCACCTGCAATATATACAACTGAAGCGTCGCCGTGGCCAAACTTAACAGTGGGTCCTCGCTTAAAATAAAGCAACAAGTCTAACCGCATCTCTCTCCTCCCCCAACTTTTACACACTAGATATATATGTAGTACTTCTACCGTCATTTAGCATACTGCAAAGCAATGCATAGTTGCTCAGTCTGCCATATTACATCATTCACAGCTATCTGCCCTAACTGCAAGATTAGCACAACCTAAAAAATACTTAGGTCAGGGTAGACAAATATGGGCTGCAGGACCCACACACAGGCAAATTTATTTTGATGAAATGTAGTAACAATTAACAATTGCCGTATTTTAGTGTAATGACTGGCCAACAGACTATCGCCCAAACCGAGGCGGCCCCGCGCGCGGTATGAATCGTAAGCATCACCGAAGCTCCTTTCGGATGCATCCCGAGAAAATTTCATCATTAAATTGTATTAAAAAAAAAAAAAAAAAAAACCCACTGGTGCTTACCTGAACTTGGCCGCTAGAGGCCACTGGTACCTGATTACTGACGGTTACATATCCCCCAGCATTCTTCTCTCCTCCAGGTAGCCAAAATTGAATTTTGACAAAATACTAAGCGGAGATTTAAGTATCAAAAGCTAGAACCAACGTGTCCCTGGGTAAACATTATTCATTATCATTGCTCTCATAGAAAACAAACTCCAATCGCTGATGTCTGTAAAAAACGAAAAAAAAATATTTTATTTTAAATAGAAAAACATTTTCTATGACTCTTATCACAAAATTCACAAGTTTTAACAAGCTGGTTGTACAACGTTGGTTCATGAATTCCAGACTTCCGCCCTCTTCTTTCTGTGAGTCGTCACACTGTGTGCAAATAGTCTTTTCCAAAGCAGGAAGAAGCAGTCAGCTTGCTTAACAAAAAAAAATAAAAAATCAGGAGCAAGTTCAGCAAATTTCATATGCCCTACTTTTCCCCAAACCGATCTACCATAGTCTTATATATGTGCACAGCTACAGCAAATTAAAGCGAGTTGTGGACAAAAAAAAAGCAACTTCTGTAATTTTATCCATTTGTGATGCAAATCAACAAGAACCAAAAAAATCAGATTAAAATGGGAAATATCCCCCTTTGGTCTGAAAACAAATATGCCTTTTTTAAAACATACTTCATAAATGCATGATTCTGGCAGATGCAGCCTTTAAAAAAAAAAAGAAAAAAAAGTCTTCCTCCTGACAATTTCTGTGGTGAGCAGGAATTTCACAATTCCACAATACACATACCATATATACTATACAAGTTCAAATAAAGTCCGGCGGATTAATCTGGAGGATTCCCAAAACGGGGAGCGGCTTCACACTCTCTTCCTCTTCAAACGCGGGACAGAGAGGACAGCAGGTCAGATGTTCGCTGAATGGTGTGGATGTGACGGACCGAAGAGACGCAGGGGGTTAGGGGGACTCAGCGCTCGACACTTTAAAGGCCAAGTCATGCCCCTAACTCAGCAATAGTAGTAAGTACACAAAAACACATAACACATCGCCATGGGACAAAACCAAAAGAAAACTGTAAACATTTGCATGAGTAATACATGTTCCTGCATGCAGCAGAACACTGACCGAGGTTCTGTTTCCTGTTTAGTGTACGCAGTATATATATATATACCCTGTAAATCACAGTGGATAGACCACCATCCTTGCATATAGCTCAGTAACAGGCCCAGTCCTGCATCACAGAGTTTGTCCTCTAGGGCTGCTGTGCTTGGCTGGGCTTTACTGATCCGACATTGCTGAGAAGTTGGAACGCGGGGTTGGCCTGTCGGTGGCCTCCATAAAGGGCTGTTTCAGAACGGCACCAAAGTGAAGAGGAAAGAGTTTTCATGTTTCCAGAATGCATCAGACTACCCATAAAGGGTAATGTCTGAATTTGTTTCGAATCAAAATATATTAATAGTCTTCCCAAAAAAAGGTATATATATAAAACAGGACAAGTGCTAAAATATGATGGACTGTCATGGTTAACATGAGGTCAGACTTTGAGCTGGACACCCCCCCCCACAATGCTCAAGCTCAAGGTGCAGTAATGATGACTGTTGCCATAGCAACAGTTGAAAGGCAGGACCAAAAAAAAAAAAGATGTGTTGGCGTGTTGGTTAGTGTATGGGCACCGAAACCACTAGACTCCTGTTCATTCAGACTCGTCCCACATGCGTCCATCTGAGTGCCTGCTCGGAATGTAGGCTGCACCTCTCCGTCTTTAAGACTCCCGCTGACTCCGGCCAATCCCTCCACATGGCCCACCGCTGCCCATAACAGCCTGGTAGGGCCGCTTAGAGTTTCTGCCGCTTGGCGAGTTTGGAGTCGTCCGCACCAGGCGAGCGGCCGCCGTTCTCCGCGGGCAGCGCAGCGGCCTCCTCCTCCTTGGAGTCCGGCGGCTCCTCCCCCTCCGCAGGACCCCTGGCCCTCGAGCCACACTCTGGCTGCATCTCCTGCAGCTGCACCATGGCCTTGTCTATGGTCACCACGCTGATCAGGTTGAAGTCGTGCATGCTGACCAGGTGCAGCAGGAAGTTGCGACAGAGGTTCTTCTCCACGATGTAGGAGCCGCACTTCTCCACGAAGAGCAGGCAGGCCTGGTTCATCTGATTGTCGGCTATGAAACTGCAGGGACACGCCAAACAGCACCGTCAGTCGCAGGGTCACGCGACACGGTCTGTACAGGCAACCCACCAAAACCACCAAGAACACATCAAGACTGCCAATTATAAAACACTGAGTTAGTCATTAAACCCTTCTAAGGACTATTTTGGAATATCAAACGGTTTTCTAAAAATAAGTAGCAAATTAGTCACCTACCCATGCTTCATCACGTGTAAATTCCAAAGCTTCATCACCTCCTTCTCACCCTCGTTGACGTCTGTAAACTCATCTATTTGCTGTGGGCGAGGATACGACAACCTTACTTTAGAGAAGCCTCCCCACAATCCCGTGAGACACCTCTGAGGCAGCAGTAGAGGTTACGTTCTCCGGGTAGCCAACACCAGAACGACGCGGCTGACAGATGACGTGAGCCGAGATCATCACCACCATCGACATGGCGAAATGGCACGATCAGGAGCAGGCCTGGCCTGTGCAGGGCCGCCGCAGCGCCAGCAGGGGGCATCTCGGACTCACCGTGATGGTCTTCTCTCGCAGCCACTCGGGGTCACGCTCGTCCTCGCTGTCCACCTCCATCTCCTGGGGCCGAAGAGGCATGCAGCTGTCGCTGTGGAAGTACAGCCGGTTGTGGCCGCTGATGTAGGTGCGCTGCTGTTCCAGCTCTCCGTCCTCCGACTCCAGGAACTCAGACAGGCTGGGCTTAGTGCGTTTTGGCCTTGGGGGGGAGACGGGACCCCACAGATTAGACTCCTATAGTTTACATTCACTATGCTGGGGCATTAACCTAGACAAACCATTTTTCACCAGCCATTCATGCAGAAATAAAGTCAACTCAAGCCAAATCTCTGCTTAAAGGGGCAGTTCACCCGAAAACTGAAAAGAGATGTGAGGTAAAGGTAGCTGATTATGAGAAAGATCTCGGTATGTTGATGCTTCCATGTCTATGTCCGGTCTTAGAAGAATGTCTTATGAGGAGAGGTTAGCTGAGCTGAATTGGTTCAGCCGAGCAAAGGAGACTAAGGGGGGACATGATCCAGGTATGTAAGATTCTTACAGGTCTGGATGCTGTTCAGCCAAATAGTTACTTTAATATTAGTTCAAATACAAGAACTCGTGGCCAGAGGTGGAAATTAGCAGTAGAACATTTTTAACTGGATGTGAGAAAGCACTTCTTTACACAGTGTGTAGTTAGAGTATGGAATAGTCCTCCTGCTAGCCTAACCATCTAGGCTGTTCTGCTTGGAGTTGCCTACTTTTGGAGATACCGACCTTAGAAATGTCGGGCTTCCCTCGATTGGAATGGGACCGACAGCAATCTCTCTTAAATAACTGGGTCATGATTTCTGTTAAGATAATCCACAGACTTTGGTAGAAGAAAATAGTTCCTACATTCAACTGGTCACTACAAACTCCACACGCCAATCGTATCTCTGCGCCGAAGATAGCTCCAGGGTGATCGTATCTTCAGCGCAGTTACACTACAACCCCTCTAAAACATACCTTTTTTCACTTTTCTGTGGACTGCACCTTTAAGGACATAGCTGCCAGCTCCCTAGCGCACATCTCTAATGTTGAACTCCACGGACACCACTAGGGGGTGTGGTAGAAAAATTATAAATCAAGGAGGCCCACCTGCACACCAGCACGTGCGTCACCGGCGTTCGCTTGACGGGTCCGTTGCGGCTGAAGGCGAAGCCGGGCTGGCTGTGGATGTCCTGAGGGTTACCCACGTAGGAGCCGTCATAGCACTCGTTTATGGACACGTCTATCCGGGCTCCTTTGGGGTGAGGCTGCGGGGGGGGGGGGGACAGGGCCATCAGTGACACTCGAATTGGGACAGCGACCTTCCAAACTCTGCCCCCAAGGAGCCAGGTTTAAAGTGGTCAACCACAGACTCGGGGTAGACCGCAGGGATGGGCGATACCACTGATTTTCTTTCCAATCTGATTCAATCCGATACCAAGGTTAGCATTGCCCATACTGATTCTGATACTGAAACTAAGTGCCGGCCAAACCACTGGCTGTCAAAACGGGGGGTGCCGGCAGGTCCACTGTTCCATTCCCCTAGTCACTAGTGTTGGAACCCCTGATAAGTTTTCCCCTTCCTCTCCCTTTATGGGCTGTCCTGCCTGGTGGTAGTTCATGTCCTGCTCCCTATAAAAACATTTAAATGTACAGCCCAGAGATGTGCCCGCCAAGCAAAATTAATGTCACCGCTAATGGATGAAGACTTCACGACACTTGCAGACAATGAGGACAAGATTCCGGAATTTTCACCACAGACCATAACCACACCTCCTGGCATCTGAACTCTCAAAGCCCCTCACCTCAGTAAAATCTGGTTCCTATTGCATTAGATCACCCATCCACACACAGCCCAGATGGACGCCCCCCCAAAGAGGCAGGCACAGCCCTCAGCCAGTCCCCCCAGGCTGAAGCCCCAAAGAGGCTCACTCACCACATAGTTGAAGATGAAGCGGCTGTGAGACAATTTGAGGTGCTTGAGGAGGCTGTAGAGCTTGCGGCAGTTCAACGTGCACCAAGGGCAGTGCAGGTCGTCCCGGGCCTCTGTTTGCTGCCTGGTGTTGTTGTTGTACAGGAACTGAAGAGGGACATTTTAAAAATAAAGAAAAAAGCCAAAGGCACAAGTGAGAAAGACCTACGTAGGAGTCTATTGTGCCACCAACACAAGATGTCATCATCACGCAGAAAACCACAGAGTGGAAAGTCATAACTGAAATAACATTACAGCATGACATTACAAAATAAAAAGAAGTGTAAGATGGTCATACCCGTGGAAAGTTTAACGATGTAAAGTCTGCCGGTTACATGGGATTCAAACACAAGCATCGCAGTCACCAAATGGCAGAGTCACCAAATGGCAGAGTCACCAAATGGCAGAGTCACCAAATGGCAGAGTCACCAAATGGCAGAGTCACCAAATGGCAGAGTCACCAAATGCTCCTCACCTGATAAAAAATGCGAAGCTTCTGTCGAGGTTCAAGTATAATCTGCTCTTTTTTTGTCTGGACATCTGTGCCAACAGAATCTTTAACAGCTGTAAGAAAGCAGAGCGAAAAAGGACTTCAGCAAACCATGTGACCCTCCCTCGATTTCAGACGTCCCACATGCCGATTACCGGCGAGGCCGCTGGAGCACAGGGCTGCAGACGCCGTTCACGGCCGTCTCGTGCCATCGGGAGACCTTAGGGACAAGTGACTAACGCTCAAGCCAAAGAGAGGTTCCAGATGCTAAGATCAGGATCAGACCTCAGGAGGAGCCCTGCTTAGTACTCGAGTGAGTGAGGACAGATGTATAAACGTGTAGTGTAAATGCAAGCTGTTCTGACTGGAGAACGTTTTATTTAATGGAACTCCGCTGTATGCACAGTATAGGACATGGCGTTACTTTAAGCACAGTACCGCGGGATCACCAACCACATCTTTGCGATTATATCAGGAAATGTGACAGATTCTCAAAAAAAACCCAAAAACACACAGCACTCTAAATCCCGTGATTGAGGGGTGCTTTTTGTTCCCTGCGCTCTATCCAGCAGACCACGTTCTATCTCGCCTGAAGCCACTATACTCTGAAGAGCAGTGTGGGGCGGCTGTTGCTCACGCAAGCTGTTATGCGGCCAGTAAAGGTCATTACATCAGAGCTGGCAGGCCAGCTGCTCACGCTGATGCTCACCCACACGAGGCCGGAGCGCAGGCGGATCTGACGCACGCACACCGCACGCGTACACATGGACGCGGCAACCCGCAGCTGACCTGTGACGAGGTTGGCGTTGGGCCACAGCGCTACGCGCGACCACCTCTTTCCCCGGCAGAGGGCGTGTTAAGGAGCCGCCCGCTCCTCCCCTCACCTACTGCCTGAGCAGGTCTGAGCGGGCCGGGCCGGCTCTCTGGAAGCACCGAGTCTGAGTTGCGTGTGGCCAGCGGCTTGGCCACGGGCGCCGTGGAGCGGTCGCTGATGTCGTCCGTCCAGCGCAAGGTGAACTGCAGTGTAGGTCCCTGAGAGAAGGTCTCAAACGGAGGAAGCCACTACACACACACACACACACACACACACAGATTCGCGTATCAGATTATCTGATAACATCAATCAGAATCACAGGCAATGTCCGAGTCCTCAACACAAACACAATGTGGCAGCTTAATATGCTGGCACACGTACCTTCCCATCCTGGATGGTCTCCCACGTTGCCCTCTTCTTGCTGACGGGACAGTCCTCCATCTCCTGCATGGACACCTCATACTCTCCGTCCAGCAGCTGCAGACGTCTACGAACAAGAGTTCACACCAGGAACACAGCTTGTAAACAAACATTATCATTAAGAGGGTAAAGGTTGTATCACAAAATCAATTTACACAGCTCTAAAAAACATTCAACGTCGATCTCAATCTAACAATTGTCCTTTACAGTGATAGATGATTGCTGAGCAAAGGCACAACGGTCACCTGTTCTTGTCAAAGACCGTCATCTGAGCAACAAAAGTGGTTTCCTCATCTACTCTGTGGGAGGAGCTCCTCTTTTTCCTGCATGGAAGCTCTTCGTTGACATCTGGAAATAATTGGGGAGAATGAGGCGTTTTCCCACAATACAGAGAACTATCTTCAAAAAAAAAAGCACAAAAGTACATAGAGAAATTTAAGAAGCCCAAGTTACCATCAGCAAATCACAAAAGCGTGGGAATGGGGCCTTAAATCTTACCAATATTCTCCATCTCGCCATTGGCTAGACCATTCAGCTCCCCCCTTCCAGGCCGCGACACCCGGAACAGCAGGGAGTAGGACTTCACCATGTGGCTGTTGCTGGGCTCAAACTCGTTGCTGGACACCACCAGCGAGGGGTAGTTGCCCAACTTTGATTGGCTGGTGTCGGGGTTCAAAGGCACCTGCTTCTTACCCGTAGGCACTTGCTTGACTGGGCAACTTACATCCTGGGAACATGAATAAGCAACATGTAAGCAAGTCCAGTACATGTGACAAGTGCATAGAACTGAAACCACAGAAGGAAGGTCACTACAACAGGCCTGCAATAGATAAACATCCTTTACCCTGTACATCAGAGGGCCATCATCAGCAAAATCTACAGCGAAGGGCAACACGGGAAAGTTACAACTGAGCAGCTATATTCAGCTTTGGTGTTAAAGACGCAGCTCCTCCCGTTTTCTGCTACAGAACTCCACACACCAAACGTATCAGTGTGCAGAAGCGAGCGCCGCGGGGCTCGTGCTCTTATCTTCTGCGTGATAATACTGGCACATGGAGTTTGGTAGGAGAAAATAGTTCCAACATTAAACTGCTCACTACAAAGTCTGTGGATTATCTTGAGTAACCAGGTCATGATTTCAGGTCAGAGACATCGCTGTTGTATTATTTTGGTATTTTAACCACCAGTGAAAGAATGACATTCACTCCCATTACATTCAAGAGAAGCCAGATTTCTACGCCCGATATCTCCAAAACTAAGCAACTCCCAGCAGAGCAGCCTAAACGGATAGAAGGCACTAAAGTCCTTCTAACACATCTCTCTTTTCAGTTTTGGGGTGAACCGCCCCTTTAATAACAGCAGGCAATAAGACTCACCTTCCGCTTTTTGTGGCAGACTTTGACCAGAAGCACTTCCAGGGAGACAGAGTTTTGCTCGTTTTCCGAGTTCTGCGATGGCTTTTCTGCGGGAGCCGAAGGGGAAGAGGTGTTACGGCACAACAAAGCGAAGGACTCCCGGCGTACAGCTGCCTCCACGCACCACCTAACAAAGCACTGAAACATACCGACTTTATGGAAGAATCCGGTGAAGGTCAGTTGCAGGTGAGATGCAAAGCTGCGGGGGGGATTCACACAGGAGTATTAAAAGAGCGCCAGCAAGACAGTAAAGCCGAAGAGGAAGACGACGCCCGAGCCGCACCTGTGTGACTCCTGCTCTCCTCTCATCTTCTCCACCTTGAATAGCATGTCATCCACTTTGAAAGACTTCCTGAATGCACAGAAACGGCTTCAGTAACCATGGAGTGTGTATGAATGTGGGGGGGGGGGGGGTATTTATTAAGCTGGATACTTTCACCAGTATGGCCAGTTTAAGGCTCCCTCCCCAGGAAAGCTATGGATACATGAAGACTGTGGGCTTTGTTCCCAGAAAAGGCTGCTTTTAGGATGTGTCTTGTACCTGCTGACCAAACTGCACACATTGAACCTACTCTGGCCACTTCGTTCGCCTATGAGTTTTTAGCAACACAGCAGGCAGTCGAAGTATTTTCTCAGGAAATCATCTGATTCATGTACCTGATTACACATAACCACACCGTGGAGCAGGTGTCCAAAAGCTCATTCAGAAAGCCAATGCACAAGAGCTATTTATCTGCAGACACATAACCCCCGACTGTGAATCTGACACATGAACTAGCTTTTACAAAGAGACCACCGCCTTCCATTAAGTCAGATTTTTGCTGTTCTGTGAAAATGGTAAGGTGCCGTGACCAGTTCAGCTTCAATCACACATTTTTTTTTAGCAAAATACCAATGCACTACTCTGTTATATTATTTGAAACGCAGCTAGCTATCAAAAGTCCATTCCCATTCATTTTGCAAGACGACTCAGTACCAATAATAATAATAATAATAATAATAATAATAATAACAACAACAGTTTCTTTTTACCTTTTGGCGTTCGTTCTAGAGTTCCGGTGGGACATATATGTAAGAGTTCTGTGCAAAAATATAGGCTAGTGGAAAAAGTAATGGAAACGGTTAACGTAAATGACCAAAAATCATGAAAAATACATTAACTGAGCAAACAACGCAGCAAAATCCACACATATCTTTCTAGATATCACTGCTTACCGCAATAAGATTTCTGGTTCGAAGAAATCTGTAGATTTGTGTTGGTTCTGTGAAAAGTAAAGTTAACGGTCACAATACTGCAATTCAGAAGGATCTCATTCTGCTTGAAGTTTAAAATGATCAAATAGTAATGCCTATAGTCAGGTTCGTTGTGTTTTGTGAATCGCTTTTCAAAGGACAAAAAGTTCATCGCAAAAAGCAGAAATTACTGAGATACCTTTAAAATACGTTTTGCTATGTATTTAAATGCCCTTAATAATATGAGTCAACAGACATCGGGGTTTCCAGAAAAAAAATAATCCGGCAACAAGTTTAGTTCACACAATCGGCGACCTGCGTCATTAGATGTCTGACGTCTGACATTCGATCCTTAGGAATTACAGCATCTCAAAATACTCAAATTGATTAAACTACTGGAAATAGTGCAACTAATTCAAATAACGTTGATAATAAAATTATACAACTGTGAATGATACAATTCACCCGACTTCCCTATTCAGCTCATCGCCCAGAAATCTAAAATGCGTGTTTTTTCCCCCCACATAAAATGAGCAACGCACTTCGTTTTTTTTAATTACATACTTCACAAGAACATTAAAACTGACAGCGCGGCTCTGAATGGTAGGAAGCTAAGTGGCTCAATTCTTAAACCATTTCAACAATTTCTCTAGACCTAATACCAAGGCTTTTAGTTCGCCACGCTAAAAATACACTGACAAACACAACCTGATGTAATCTGGATCAAGTTAATCATCGTGTGAAACAATACTGTTACATTGTTTTAGCTATTTATTACTTATTCCCTCCTTACCCATCTAGCAACCTGCTACCAAAAGTTTATGAATGTATAGGATATAAGGCACATGTTACACAAATAAAAGCAAACAATATATAAAGGCAAACTCACTTTCAAAGGCCTGTAAGAAGAGCTCGTGGTCGGCTTGAATCAGTTCCATCTTGGGCTTCTTTACTGCGGACATCACAACAGCGGAGGACGAATACACGCCGCCGTTGGCTTTCCCACCAGCACCACAACCCACACCGGTACCCGAACCGGAACCGTGCTTCTGAGGAGCCATGCGACAAACCACAATAGGCTGCAACTGTATCTCAAAATGAAATGTAACGCACACGTCCTTTTCCAGAGCAAAGGACACGGATATCTACCTAACCGCTTTTCTTAGTCCCCAAAACATTAACCAGGCAACTCGACGGCTATCTAAACAGCTAGCTGGAAAAGAACATCCGACTTTTAGATGAGCATATAAAACAGAGCCAACTGGCTATAGCTAAACGGGCTTCAGATACGACTGACTTCCTCGCTGGTTTATATAAGAAAATGTATGAAAAGGAAACGCATCTACTCTCCGTTTCGAAGCAAAAAAAAAAAACTAACTAGCTACACGAGTCCCGTAGCTAGCTAGCTAGGTAGCTATACTGATGGCTGTGTAGCTAGTGCCTGGGGAAAAGCCATGAAAGAATCATTACATGCGGTTTTAAATGATGAAATTCAGGTACTGTTTCTAGGGATTCTTCAAAATATTTAAATCTCTGAGACTTTTTTCTTGACATTTAAAAGAAATATAATATCTAGATATTTATCAAGATTAAAATAAATATATTGAAATCACTGTTTCCCCCGAATACAGACAAAACTCCCGTTTAACTCTCCTCGCTAGCGAGTTACAATCGAACATGATTTGCACGAAAACACCGGCCCATCTGTAGAATGCAATCGAATAGCAGTCGCTGGTTTGAACTGCTGAGCACCGCCATTGGTCTAATGCAGCGTCAATCAAATTAGAGCCGTAAACGCCATGTTTGGTAGAGAACAAAATTTGCCGCTCGCGCTCCTTTCGCCTTTGAAACTATTTTGCGGGAAATCGCAATGTACTGATGCCAAGACGAATTATGGGCTATGTAGTTCCTAAACTCCGATTTGTTGGGGGGCGGGGGGTTATTGGGGTGCAGTTTATTAAATCAGTTGTGTTTTCGTCAGGTAAAAAGAACGTTTTCATAATAAAAACGTGTTACATTTAATAGCCTGTGACAAAACGAAACAAAAAAATAAAAGTCCAACATGTTTGACTATGTTTCGATAAAACGTAAAATTAATATAAAAATATTTTATTTATTTTATAAAGCTGCTTTGTAAAGAAAATTCTATATATTAGCTATATATTTTTATACATCCGAGTATGCAAAAATGCTTCCATTCATCCATCTTTCAACCAATTATTCAGTATAGTTGAAAAACTATTACAATACTATTATATGTAATTTGACTTTTTCTCTTGAGGATTAAAATGATTAGGCTATATAAGCCTAGCGTATTTTAAAGAATTTCAGGCTTAGGCCTACCCCCTCCAGTAATATTTTAATTTAAAAGCGTGCAGCATGAAGATGCACCTTTACAAGCCTCTATATAAGAATATATACGAAATGGAAAAGTGTGGAATTGTTGATTTTGAAATTAGACTGAGAACCGAGTGGGAGATCGAAAGCGCCTCAGGCGACACGTTCCATTCCGGAGTCCGCATCCGGACATCAGTTCGGAGATTGTAAAAGGAAGCGAAACCAAAGAATAACAATCGACTAAAAATACTTTAAATAAAGCGAGCTGTCAGAACTTCACTGTTGAATACTTGGTGCTACATCGTAAAAAGGCAGCATATAACCACATATATAGTGACATTCATAGCGCTATGACTTTATAAATTTAAAAGATGTTGAAACATTATAAGTAATAATTAATAATTTATTATGGGTATGGGCTATAGGCCTATATGCTTGCGTGAATGCAAAACAGACTGCTATGCGCTCTTTTTCTCCAATAGGTTCGTTGAATATCTTAATTGAAATCTCTATCGCAAGATGGCAAATGTTCTCCATCATATGGCTGAGCTTCAGCTTTAATTTATTTCTGATACTTCGTCTGTCTTGTGAAAACGTATCTTCTCATTCGTGCGAGTAAAACACTCTTCTTTCAACCTTTGACTGTGTCAGCGGTGTTTCATGATGTTTCTGCTCCACGTGTCATTACGTTCTGACACATTTGGGTGCTCATTCAGTTTCAACACAGATATTTTATGGGTTCCACTGAAATAAAGGTAGCTAATTATGAGAAAGACCTCGGTGTTTATGTTGATGCTTCCATGTCCTACTCTCGCCAGTGTGGGGAAGCAATAAAAACGGCCAATAGGATGTTGGCAGGGGCGGATTAACACACAGGCTAGATATGGCTTAAGCCTAGGGCCCCCACGTGTGCCAGCCTGCAAGGGGGCCCCCATTGGCGCGGAGGCAGGCGGGGTTGGAGGGCCCATAGACTACTGTAGCCTAGGGGCCTCTGTACACCTTAATCCGCCCCTGGATGTTGGGTTACATCTCTAGGTGTGTGGAGTTTAAGTCAAGGGAGGTGATGCTACGATTATACAATTCCTTGGTAAGACCCCACCTATTGTGTGCAGGTTTGGTCACCTTACCTTAAAAAGGACATTGCTGCCTTGGAAAGGGTGTAACGTAGGGCAACAAGAATGATTCCTGGTCTTAGAGGAATGTCTTATGAAGAGAGGTTAGTTGAGCTGAATCTGTTTAGCCTCGAGCAAAGGAGACTAAGGGGGAATCCAGGTATATAAGATTCTAACGGGTCTGGATGCCGTTCAGCCAAATGGCTACTTTAATATTAGTTTAAATACTAGAACTCGTGGCCATAAGTGGAAATTAGCGGGAGAACATTTTAAAATGGATTTGAGAAAGCACTTCTTTACACATCGTGTAGTTATAGTATGGAATAGTCTTCCTGTTAGTGTAGTGCAAACTAAAACCCTGTGTTCCTTTAAATCAGAGCTAGATGTGATTTTAACAACTCTGAGCTATTAGTTAAGTTCTCCCCAAACGAGGATGAGCTGAATGGCCTCTTCTCGTTTGTAAATTTCTTATGTTCTTATGTAACAAAACTCAATTCAAGTGCAACAAAACATTTGGACACTTGAAGGGTACATTGAGACATTCTGAAGCAAATCACCCTTTTCTTTAATTTACATTAATCCACACAAATAATGTTTATTTGGGTTATAAAGTGTCATCTCACCAACAAATTAGCAGCACCTTAATGATCCCTAGAAGTGTATGTGATGGTCATCAAGAATTGATTAATTGTCATGTCCCAGTTCATGATGAAATGTGTCCTCTGCATTTACCCATACGTGACATAGCAACGGGCAGATATTATTTAGCACCTGGGTAGCAGTGTGGGTGCATGTATGTGGGGGAGGGGCATCATTGGTGCCTTCGTGGTGGCGGATTTCAACCAGCAACCTTTTGCTCACAAGTGTGCTGCCCTAATCATTAGGCCATCACTACCCCAAGACAGTCTGAAAAATAATCATCTACAGCATCCACTGGACAAAGTTCACCATGGGACCTACATGCACATACAGTAGATATTATGTAGCTTCGCCATGCTATTGAACACGGCCTTCATGGTTTTTAATATGTTTCAAATGGTCAGACCTGTTCATTGTCACATGCTATACCCACAACAGACGTGAGCGGGATTACCATGGCTCTGTCAATCACTCCCTGATTTAACCCAATCAGAAATCAAAACCAAAGTGGGTTAATCCCTTTGGTGACTGATACTACACAATAATCCAACACAGCAAGTGTTCTAAAGCTTCTAGAAAGTTTTAAATACAGACAAACCATAATAAATAAGATATGGAAACTCTGCAATGAGCTTTTATGTCAGTAATTAAATCTGAGAATGCTGGTGTTTTGCCTGTGTGGTCAGAACAAGTTAAGCATCAATATATGGGAATGCATCACTCCATCTCCTATGAGTATTCATTTGCAGCATCTTAAGTCATGCTGTCACAATACTTGTTTCATTTGAATGAACAATTACCAATTGAATTACCAATTATTACCAATTGATCAATGACCAGTGCACAGTATGAACAGCTTTGCAGTTAGCCTAAAACAATTTCTTATATAATGATTAATAATTGCTACAATTATTTATACAATTATACATTTGTATACAATTATTTAAAAATACTCTTTTCTCAATTAACAGTGGAAGATGTATGCAAGTAATTCATAGAACTAGTGAGGATGCTGCTTAAAAACACAACAGCATATCATCAATATTTTATTTTTTGAATTGAAATTTTCTTAGTCTTATTATATGAAATATTTATATTATGGAGCTGAAAACTAAGAATTTCGCATTTACACAGAATTTTGCATGAGAAAAATGACGTAAAATGACATTTTAAATATTGATTGTATATAATATCAAACAGCTAGGTTACTATAGACTTACCACACTCCTGTTTGTTGACTTCCAAGTGGAGGTATTGAATTTTCCAGCGCTAAATGTATTTCATATTTCTGTGCTGTGTGTTCGTTTTGTCATTCATTTACAAACAGCAGTCGCCTACATCCATGCAATATGTAAATTTCACTATACATTTTATTGACATTATTAACAAGCCCAGGCATGTCTTTAGCGTGTCTCTTATTATTCTATCCTGGAACAAAAATCTTCATCCGTAGATCTGCACCTAGGCATGAAAACAAGATTTGAATGTATGTGTTATATTAAAATATTGAATGTGATGCACTTTTTGTAGTTGCCTGCATAGTAGTTTTGCAATCATAAAAACTATGATAGTTACAGATTAAGCTGATAGCTGATGTTACATTACGCCTTTTCTAGCGCTCTAGTATACATAATTGCCTGAATGTTCTGCTTTAATTTAAGTAAAAATGTAATAGAGCCTATAGTTTACTTGGATTGAGTTCAATACACGGAATAGTTACCGCGTTAACTGAAAACGTTATTTTTTTAAGAAGCCGAAATGGCTGGTGTCAGCATTTCTCTGTGGGTGGCGTTTCGCAGATCATACAAGCGCTACCACCTGCGAAACTTTAGCGGACGACGCTAGAATAAAATTTCTGCACCTAAACACACGCAAGTGAAAAGTCTGATTCTGAGGATTCTTTTGTTTTCACCCGCTTGGTTGTAATGTAAATGTCAAGCTATGCTGGTATGATTTCACATTAATCATTATCGCGTTTATGTGAATTAACCTGAATTAACTTGCATGCCTAAAGCATTATACCTATCTGAAGTAAATATCATAGCGGTTACATATGCGCAAGTTATTTTTAAAATCGGTGTCAATGACTTCCACGTGCTGCAAGCTGCCCTGGATAGGCCTACTTGTTGTGCCTATCACATTACTACAGGGAAAAGAAGAGACACTATTAAGTAACAAGATCAGTTACTTGATTGGTTATTTTATTTTTAAAAATGCCCTTTCACCCTTTATATGTATTCATATATAAAAAGAATAATTCTTTGAATTGCAACAGAAATATTTGATACGAAATGTCAGTTAATCAAAACCAGCGGCAAATTTGTTGTTAGGCGCGGTGGCCAAGTGGTAAGGCGTCGGTCTCGTAAACCGAAGATCGCGGGTTCGAACCCCGTCCGTGCCTTATTGGGAAAAAATAGCGTTAGATGTCTTTTTAAATCAGGCAAATACATGTCACAATAGCCCATTCAAAGCAGCGGCGGATGTATTTTGGCTACTCAGAATGTATCTTAATATTTTTGC